GTACGAAGTTCTCAGATTGGAGTAAGAGCAATGTTATAGTTCTACAAATGGAGGTTGCCACCCATATCCATCCCCATCTTCCACCATGAGACAAAAGAGGAGCAGTTATACCAGAAAAGAGGAACAGTTTTTTCATAGATCGTTTGTTAACAAAATAGTAAAACGCCGGGTTGTGGAATCAAAATTTTGAGAAATTATTTAATGACAATATTGCCCTTAGGTTTAGGTCTACGGTTATAGCTCACAATATCTTTCTTTTATATATAATAACTATAATTATATTACTTGTTTTTTCTTTTCTTCAGTGAAAGTTTATAAAATAAATTGTTTTTCCTTCATCGATATTTGCTTCCCGAATTGATTGTTGCTGTTAGGAGTTATTAGATCTGCAATACGATTGGATCTAGGCCGGCGTTGATTTTTCTTGGGTCATCTATTTTTGTCTGTGACAAAAGGTTTTCTATTGATTAATTGGTTTTTTGTTATTCTTTTATTTTTATGTTTGACGGCATACTTTATTTATTTATTTGCTTTTTGTGATTGATTTTTGTGGGCTGTTTTTGCAATTGGCATGGATACGGGGTTTTTTTTTTCCGACGGGGGACGGAGGATTGGATCCATTTGGTTAACTAATTATTGCCGTAAACGTTGTGTCGAACATCTGTTTATGTTTTTTTTTTCTGTCCGAATTAATTTTGGGTTTTTATTTGTTTTTAAGATGGACGTGATAATACCTCGAGTTGCGGGCTACGAGTACGAATACGATTTCTGTATCAAAGAAGAACTACTTCCGGCGTTGTCGAATCGCAAATTATTGTATCCTGATCGTCCGAATATAATCTTCGAGATTAGAACTAGCTTCCTCGTAAAGACAATCAACGGCGAGGATGACGAGATTATCGACTCGGAGGTATTACATTCCGTGATCGACGACGATAGAACAACGTCGTATTGTCAGAAAGGCATGATTAACGCTTCAACGAATTTAAGATTGGAGGATTATTGGATGACCTACGACGAAATACATAGGTTCGAGTACGACGCGCTCGTTTTCGCGAGACGGGCCGCAGACGCGGCGGATCCCCCTCGTCGTTTAGTACCGGTATTCGTCGACTTTAAGGTCCGGACCGTTCAGCAAAACGGAGAGGCCGTTAGCGTGGCTATGGAGCGGGCCCTCAGAGCGGAAAACATGGTCCCGTTTTTCGAGTTTCCGTTCCCGAATTCGATAAGGGAGGACCTCAAACTAGAGAGTCTTGTAGATTTTTGAGTTTGGTAAAGAAGACTAGGGTTGGAGATATCGAACACGGGTTGGCTATGATGAGGGTTTGCGATATTTGTTCGCGGGGACCGTTTATTGGGTGTCAAGTATCGAAGGTGCGTAGGTGCTGCCATGCGTTGCATTCCCACTGCTACACTCGGTGGCTGCTGAACGGCAACCGAGATTGCCCTTCGTGCGGTTCGGTAGCGTATCACGATGCTTGGTACGACGATGACTATGAAGATTAAGTACTATATCTCGTGTTTATACACTACACTGCACCGGGTGAAATACTACACAGAACAGAACACAGATTAGTTTGCATTTCTTTTGTCCAATTTTATGAACTTTTTTATATGAGCACTTCAAATTAATTAGTTCCATCATATATATATAACTAGGTCTTGGCAGGTCGTATTTATTTTGCCGGATTTTTTTTTTTTTAATTTAAAGAGCTTTTTTTGCGACTAATTTTGTTTTTCAATAGTGTTTTTTTTTTTTTTTTTTTTTTTTTTTAATATTACTGCATGTAGATATATAATTATAGCCTATAGGGGGTGGCTAGGGGTGCAAGTTGGAACAGAACTCCAATTTATGCCGGTTCCGATCCGAAAAGTTCCTATTTTGGAACAACTTTTTTCATTCCGACTTTCGAAATTCCGATTTCCAAAATTTTTCCGATTTTTTTGGAATGTAATTGGAATAATAAAAAATAAATTTGGAATTTCCGATCCGATTTAATTACCGAAATTAATTCCGAAAAATTATGATTTTTTTCTGAAAAATACACCCATAAATAATATATATTATATAATATTTATTTTTCCGAAAAATACGCCTATAAGTTTTGTTTTAGGATTTTGAGATAATGAATTGTTGTTAGAAGTTTTATTGGCTATTATGATGTGTTTAGTTTTATTTATTTTCTGAACTGAAATTTAGTAATTATTAATTTTACGTTTTTCGACGTGAATGTTTCATATTTCTGGAAAATTATGAACATTTCCGAAAATTTCCGCTAAGTTTTGAAATTTTAAAGCTTATGTGATTTCCGATTTTTTTTCGAAATTTCGAAATTTTCGGACCTTATGGAATTGAAATGAATTTTTTGATTCCAAAAAATTTGAAATTGAAATTGGAATTAATTTTGTACTTCCGATTGTTTTTGGAAATTTTCCAAAAATGTTATTTCCGATTCGATCCATTCAACTTTCACCCCTAGGGGTGGTTATATTCAATACCAGTTTTTTTTCGGTTTAATACCAACAAAAAAAGAAAATAGATAATAAATAGTAGTACATGGGAGGTAAATGAAACTAGCCCAATTAATTAGTAAAACTCAATGATCAAACAATATTGAAATAAAACTTGAAAAAGAGCATAAATCAATTATTAAAACTCGAATGATTTATTCCTTGAAAATAGAAATCAAAGAGTGGAAATAGTATTTATAGTAAACTTCTTTATTTATTAATTAAAAATAAATAAATAAAAATAAAAAGTTACAGAATCTACTATGTGCTGTTTTGGGCAACCACTTGGCAAGTAGGGCACGAATTGTTTCCTTGGGCGAGCATCCTCCTCACAATGCAGTGTGAATGAAAAGCATGGTTGCACGATCGGACAGCCGATATATGAGTCCCGATCGTCGGTCCACTTAAACAAATATCGCATAGGGGCATAATCGTCATTCCCTCTTCAACATCCTCAACCCTAATCCTCGGCCTAAATCCCGTTCTGCGGTCGACATCTTCTCCAACCCTAGCCCTAGCCAACACTAAATTCAACAAATGAAGTAGAAGACTATTATCAAATTGTTGGCGATCAACACCCGTTGCTACCGGCCAAATGTAAAACGGGACCAATTTTTCAGCTGTGATGGCTCTGTTGTTGACCGAGTCAAGCATCTCGTTTTCTTGCTGCACCGTGCAAACATCTAGGTGAACAACTATAGGGATCAACAGTCTAGAAGAATCTTGTTTGCCTGTTTCGACGGCAAAATCAAAAGCCTTGCGTACAAGCTCGTCGATTTCATCATTAGTCATCCAATATTCGGCAAGTCTGTATTCCAGCTTTATCATCAGCTCAATTCCTTGATTACCATATACTTGTGCGTCGAATCTCTCCGAGTCCATAAACTCATCTTCACCGTTGATTTTCTTGATCGAGAAGTTGGTTCGAATCTCGAACAGATAGGTTTTCTCTTTAGAGTTGAGTTTGTATTTGTATAACGAAGCTATATCGTCGTCCGTCGAGAAAGTATATGAATACTCGTACCCGGCGACCCTACGTGCAGCCACTCCGCGTACAGAACGCCCTCGACCTCGACCTGCTTCCATTGTCCAATAAATTTACCTATTAATTAATTACCTACAAACACATCACAATTCACAAATCATTAATTAATCAATTAAAACAACTTTAAAAATTCACTTTTACCAACAAATTTATATATATAATATACATACTACGTACCTCCAAAGAAAGAAAAAAAGAATCTGAATGTGCGGCAGCGAGAATTTGATCGTCTGTAATCTGTGTGAGAGAGAGAGAGAGAGAGAGAGAGAGAGAGAGAGAGAGAGAGAGAGAGAGAGATATTTCGTCTGTGGTCTCAGAGAGTTGTACTATCTATACATAAATATAGAGAGAGGGAGAGAAATTCTAATTAGGCAAGGATTTGAATAACTACCTTAAAAAGAGTTCTTGCCTTATGTCTGTCTTCTACTGCACGCAAACTACAATTAAGAACAAATTCTGATTTTACCAAAAAAAAAAAGAAAAAAATTGACTTTATTGCAAATACCACCCGTGTGTAATTTCTAATTATCAAATACCCCGGTCAAAAGAAAACTTGAACATGCCTCCCTGTATAAACTTATTTTTTCAAGCATATTGCACCATTTGTGATTTTAGACTTTGACTCAAGGAAAATTACAGAAATACCCTAGGGTATTTTTAACAATTATTTATAATTCCCATGTACTAAATAGTAAATAGAAACCTTCACTTTAACTCCCCTCTACTATAAAATTATTCAACTACCCCCCTAAATTACATATTATACCAATTATATCCTTTTTCTTAGTTTTTTTTTTAAGTCAAGCCCCCCTCTTTCATTATTTTACAAACCTAAATATTTTCAATTTCATAATGAAAGATATTCTAGTATTTATACTCATATTCTTTTTTTAATGCTTGCTCGTTTTTGTTTATTATTTACATGTATTGAACGCTCTAAACATATCTTTCATCTAACTGATATTGGTTCTAAAGACGAGTAAAGTATAAAATATCATTAAGAATTAGAGTGAATATCTTTTACTCAATATTTTTTCTATTATTTATTCGAAATTCTTTACAATGATATTTACCATTTAAATTTTACTATAAATTTTAAATTTTAAGTTTTTAAGGATATAAATTTATCACCGCGTATTATTTTGATTAAACAAATCTAATAACCAAAACTAATAATGAACTATTTCATCAGTCCGGTCCTATCTTGGCTCCGCCACTGAGCATTAGTTGATTTTATCGACCAACCGATCTACTCTCGATCCGCTTTTATCTTCATGCCAGTAATTTAACCGACCCATGAATAAATGTGTTGGTTACTGGTTTTTAGTTTACTCAAAAGTCGGTTGGTCGGGTAATATCAACCAACCGACAAACTCTGTAGAGAACATTCCACAAACTTTAGAATATTTTGTTGAATTTGACACGATAAGAATGAACATGTAAGAAGATTCATAATTGAGGGGTGGTTAGTATTTATCGAAACATGAGGGGTTTTTTTGTTAATTTACGGTGGAAACAAATATGCAGTATTTTGAGGGCTTTGGTTGATTACAGGCCCAACAGAATTCCATCCAATCAAATTTCGGCCAAGAACTGAGCTTTCTTTCAATCCAATGCTCCTTTCTGCAACTTCAATCCAACCATGGAGCTCCGCATTTCCCGCGTATACATTTGCCTCAAGATGCAGAACCGGGATGGAAATTAACCAAATCCATGCAAATTTAATCACCACCGGTCATATCCATAATCCTACATTGACGTCAAAAATCATTCTCGATTTCGTATTTTCTCATCACAAACCGAGCGTGGATTTCGCGAGACGCCTCTTTTTAGATTACAATTACAGAGACCCGTTTCTGTGGAATGCAATTATCAGGTCGTTTTCGCATGGGAACGAACCGGGAAATGCGTACCAAGTGTTTGTTTTAATGCTTGTGAGAGGGGTTTTAGTGGATGAGTACTCATTCTCGTTGGTTTTGAAATCTTGTTCGAGGCTGCATTTTTTGAGAGAAGGAATGCAGATTCATGGGTTGATGTGTAAATTTCAATTTGGGTCGGATGTTTTTTTGCAGAATAGTTTGATTTGCATGTATATAAAATGTGGGATTCTTCAATTTGGGCGACGAATTTTCGATAGAATGCTTATAAAGGATTCGTTTTCGTACAATTTGATGATCGACGGGTATGTGAAGTGTGGAATGGTGAGTGCCGCCCGCGAATTATTTGACATAATGCCTTCCGATGTGAAGAATCTAGTTTCTTGGAACTCTATGATTAGTGGGTATGTGAAACTAGAGAATGGATTCGAATACGCATGGGACTTGTTCGATAAAATGCCGGAAAGAGACTTGGTTTCTTGGAATCTCATGCTTGATTGCTGCGCAAAGAATGGGAATATGAATTTGGCTCAGAATTTGTTCGATAAAATGTCGAAAAGGGATGTAGTGAGTTGGGCTAGTATGGTCGACGGTTATGCTAAAGTAGGAAATGTCGATGCTGCCAGGTATTTTTTCGATGCTATGCCCCAAAGGGATGTGATCTCCTGCAATGCAATGATGGCTGGTTATGTCAATAACGGATGTTACAACGAGGCACTAAAAGTGTTCCACGATATGTTAGGGGGTGGTTTCGGTTTGGCCCCCGATAGTGTGACTTTATTGACTGCTCTTTCAGCAACTACACAATTGAACTGCATAAACGAAGGAATTGCAATACATCGGTATATCCAAAAACATCGGTTTGCTACAAATGGAAAACTCGGTGTTACTTTAATCGACATGTATGCAAAGTGTGGCACCATAGAGCAAGCTATGCGTGTGTTCGAGGGTGTTCAAGATAAAAGTATTGACCATTGGAATGCTATGATTGGTGGATTAGCTATTCACGGACTCGGTTATTTAGCTTTCGATTTATTCATGAAAATGGAGAGACTTTCTTTAAAACCGGATGATATTACATTCGTCGCGGTTCTGCATGCTTGTGGACATTCCGGAATGATAAAGGAAGGCCTCGTTTGCTTCGAAATTATGAGACGATTTCACAGAATTGTGCCAAAGCTTCAACACTATGGATGCATGGTGGATATTTTAAGCAGAGGAGGGCAAATTGAGGCGGCGGCAAAATTTGTCAAGGAAATGCCCGTGCCGCCAAACGATGTGGTTTGGCGGACTTTGCTGAGCGCGTGCACAACTCGTGAGAATTTAAATATAGGCGAGCCAGTTGCGAAACATTTGATCGGAATGGATTCTTGTGATTCGAGTTCTTACGTACTTTTATCGAATATATATGCTCAGTTTGGTCTTTGGGAGTATGTTAGAAGAGTTAGGACAGTGATGAAACAGAGGGAACTAGATAAAGTTCCTGGCTGCAGCTGGATCGAACTTGAGGGAACTGTACACGAGTTCTTTGCTGGAAGTATATCGAATCTTAACTTGAGCTCCTCCAGTAAGTTTTAGTGTTTTTTTTTTTTTTTTCTGTTTCGTATATCGCTGTATATTCCGCGTAAAATTCGCCGTGAAAGTTGTGTACTGAGCATGTTAATATATTAGTGTGCATTATATTACAAATGACACCCACATGCTTTAGGATTCCCACCTAACCTTAGTTTAAGATTAAAGAAACAATACTTTTATTATTACAGAAAATTTTCAAGTGGATGAGATTCTTTCGGTCAAGTGGTAATTGTTCTATGCCCATACTATTGCAAGATTATAGCTGATAAAATAGATTTTTCCATGTTTTAATGACTCAGTAGCCTGCTTATAATACATGATAAAAAGAGTACCTTACCTGATACAAAGAGTACAAATTGCCGTTGTAATGAGATTTAGTCATGCTGAGTCAAGGTAGTTTAACTCGCCCGAGACATGGCTGCTCTTTTTTTCTTTTT